CAAAAACAATGACGCAATGATGCTTTTGTTCACTATTATTCTTCTGTTTGAACCTCTAAGGCAAACATGCAGGACTCCTTTGCTTTTATTTTTTCTATCTGCTCTCCAAATATCCATGTGGCTTATGAAAACTTTCTACTCAAAATGCATATCACCACTTCCTTTGAAAAATGCCAGTTGATCTGGCAGCTGAACCAGGAATTTATCCCCAGATCCCCACGTGAATGCCCCAAGAATAATATGGAGAATCCCAAATTCTGTTAACATTATTCATCTTCACAAGCTCATAAGCAGAAGTTTAAGGAGAGCCTGGAACATGAAGTACCTACCTTGACTATTAAGCATTTTTTGAATAAACAAGAGATGATGATCAGATACTGGTAAGTTGGAAAAGGATGATGAAGATCCAGAGAGGACTGCACTGCACTGAATAGGATTTTTAGAGCATTTTGCCTCTGTGTTTGTGCAAGGCTTCTTAGCTTCAAAGTGCTCACGCATCTGCATTATTCGGTGTCCTGTCGTGTGTCTCTCTTTAATAATCAAACCTATCAAGTTGAAGTTGCTCAATAATTTAATTTCATTTTTTATAAAAGTTTGTGTGCCAAGTGAAAACGCATAACTACCTATGCGTCCCCATGTATTCAAGTCCCAGCCTCCCTGTAGAGGCAATATGCAGTGGCAAGCAACTCCCTTGTTCAGAGCTCTCAGCAGCATTCGGTAAGAGAGAAAAGGAGCCTGCTGGGCCCTTACAGACTCAGATACCATCATGGTATTTGACAGATATCGAGTGATGCTCAATTATGTGGGTTCATCTTTGCTGGACTGTGGGGCAAACCATCATGTGACAGCACAACTCTCTCTCTCCTCACATACTTGAAAGACACCAGAACTGCTGCAAACATTTCAGGATGGTATCTCACCTGCTACTGCATCTCTGCTAGTCAGTGTACCTAGACTGATACTGATTTTAATAAGTTTCTTAAACCCTATCTATAATCTGGAATGGATTCGTGATGGGGCCCTGCACGTACCACTTAAACGACAAGACTGCAGCTGTGCTTTCCCCTTTCTCCTTCCAACTCCCAGGGGAGGTAAAGCTCTAAGCAGTGTCCTTTTATTCTTCTTAAAAGAAATGCATTATCTACCCTCTAAAACAGGGTCTTCAATGTGCTAGGCACTGTGGGACATATAATTAGAGCCTATCTGCCAAAGAGCTTGCCTATGAAAAACACAGCACTGAGCAAGGTCAGCAACTGTATTGAGTTAGCTACACTAAAAGGAAGCTATATTAAAGAAACCAACTTTCTACTATGAGAATGGAAGCAGGTTTGTCTAATTATTTGTCATTAGTAAAACATGCGATATCAGCCATGACTAGAAGGACAACAATATGGGGCTAATACTAGCATTATTTGAGGCAGCTCGTGCTCACAGACATACATTAAACAATGGAGCAAAAATACTCAAATCTCTGTCAGTCTTCTCATTTCTAAAGACGTGTTCTTTCAAAGGAAATAGTGCAGTTGTTCAAAATTCACTGGACGAAAGATAGGAAAGCAAGTAACATCCAGAGGGAGGTCCACAGAAATGGACACCTCTCCTATGAAGAAAGAGTTGTGGTTGTTCAGCCTGGAGAAGAGAAGGCTCCAGGGAGACCTTATTGCAGCCTTCCGGTACTTAAAGGGGGCTTGTAAGAAAGATGGGGACAGGCTTTTCAGCAGGGCCTGTTGCAACAGGACAAGGGGTAATGGTTTTAAACTAAAGGAGGGTAGACTTTGACTAAAACTGAACTAAAAACTAAACTAAAAAATAAAAGAGGGTAGACTTAGACTAGATATAAGGAAGAAATTTTTCCCAATGAGTGTGGTGAAACACTGGCACAGGTTGCCCAGAGAGGTGGTAGATGCCCCAGCCTTGGAAAGATTCAAGGTCAGGTTGGACAGGACTCTGAGCAACCTGATCTGGTTGAAGATGCCCCTGCTCACTGCAGGGGGGTTGGACTAGATGGCCTTTAAAGGTCCCTTCCAACCCAAACTATTCTACGATTCTATGATTCTACGTTTCCGAATCTGAAAGCTGGCAGTTAGGACACCTTCCTGAGATAGTATAGCCCTGAGATCCCGTTGCTGTGACAAGAACCATTCATGCATTTGATGCAGAAGTCACTGAAAGAAAGAGGGGCTCTTTCATTATGACCTGTTCCTTGAGATCACATGAATCCCAGAGGACGGTGAGGCACAATCATTTGATGTATTATATACAGTCATTCATTCAGCTTCCAAGAATCAACCCTTTGCAGGTATGCAGTCCTACTGTCTCTCTGAGATATCTGGATTGTTCCCTGCAACATACTTTCTCATATTTGGTTTAATGCAGGTCAGCTTCACAAAAACAGCTTTCCTCATCTGCTGATTATTGCCCTGCTCTATATGTGGCACCAGATTTAATGCTCAATGGAAGCAGCATTAGTCACCCTCTCCCTCCAGCTAAGAAGTATTTGATGCTTATGTCATATTAGCTGTTTTTTAATTTCCCTCCACTGATCATGACTATATACCTCTCAAACGTGAAGACTATATTCAGATGTCTGGTGAAACAGCTAATTTGAAATAAAATTGCACCCCCATTCTTTTCTAATGTGCCTTGACCGTAAAGACTGAGTTTCATTTGACATTTTGGTCTTAATTATGATTTATTAGGTGTGGGATGGTTAAGACGCTTTTTATCTCCATTAAATCTTAACGGCTACATTTTGCCTTTTTCTACTGAAAGAGTTCATGGAAATAAATGCAGTTAATGGACTCTGCTATTAAGTACATGTTGCTTGGAGATATAATAATGATACTTCAGAGTCTCTCCCACAATTTGCTATTAATATTAAGGAAATGCAAATTTCACAATCACATTTGGAGTCATTTTTGCTAGTCAAACTATTAAGGTTTAGTTTCAAGGTGGGAATTGTACTTAAAATTATCATCTCATGAATATCATGGAACATGATTATTTGTAATACTGTAGTCATTACTGAGAAGGCACAAAGACTTTAAAATGCAGCTTATTAAGTTTTAGTGTAATGTTCAGTCCACATAAAACTGGACTTGAACCAATAAAACTAAAAACTTTTTCTAAAAATGGTGTACTGAACAACTGCTTTTTTGTTAAAATCTCTTTTACTAGTTGAAGGCCAAATTTGATGTGGACTTCATCAATGTGGATTTGATGTGTGTGAGGCGAACTTCAGCCTAAGGAAAAAACAGTTGCTGACCGTTATCTTCTTTCACACTTTTTAGCTTAATAACTACACATATGGTTGCATAACCTCTAACTCAAAGTATATTTTAAACCCAAGTAGGTTATTTAATTTCATCTTACACATTTATACAGTTCAAAATAAGAGAAAGTCTAATCTGACCTACATTTTACAAGCTACTCCATCTCTGGATTTTGTCCTGTACTACGCCAAGTAGCTTTTGCTTGGCTAAAGGTTATCATTCATAAAGGCATATTGTCTTCAGCTGAGGACAAGCAGTGATGGAGAATCAACAACTTTTCAGAATAATTTGTTACCATTGCTAACTGCCTTCACTGCTAAAAAGTGAATTTGTTTTCTCATTTTCCAGCTACTGCTTCTTTGAGTTTTTCCTCTACTAGCCTTAAGCATCAAATTCAGTTAGCTAATTTTAAATTCTTGAACATAGATTTGTTTTTGAGTCTACCTCCTCTCCATAAAAAAATGCAGTAGAAAGGAAAATATCTACTTTCCTGAAAAGGAAACCAACAAAACCAAGAGTAGGATCATTTAATAGAAAAAATGGAGAGAAGGTTCTATAAGAACTTTCAAGTGTTCATATTTAAAAGCCCACATAACATCATTACATCATTCTGATAAATTCAGTACTTACTGTAATGAATGATTGACTAAGGGTACCCTGAAATGTTATGGGAAAACAGAGTAAAACAGTGTAGGTAATATCAATCTTTAAGTCAAGTCCTTTATGAACCTCAGGTAACAAAAGTATCAGCAACTGAAGGAAGAGCTAGAGTTGCAATTTCAAAAGCACTAGCTGCAGATCTCACTTGCTTGAAATGTGACTAATATCTATGCATTAATGTTGTAATGAAACATTACCTAAATAAGTATTACAGTTCTCATTTTGCAGACACAAAACTGAGCTGGAACACTTTCACAGGTTTACAAATAGAACCAGGCTCAGCCAATCAGGCAAAACAAAGGAAGATTTCTGATCCCATATACTGTTCATCCCATTAGACAACACAACCTTCAGAATAAACGAGGACATGAAGATTCAGGCTTTAGGCAGACTAATAACAGATCTACTCTGTATTTGGTACAGTTACAAAAGAATAATAGAACTACATGGATTTTCCTTATTAGTAGAGAAAAGAAAAGCACAGGTGGAAATGCCTAAAGTAGAGGTAAGCCCTAACAAACTTGTAGCCCAGTACTTTTGAAGTTCGGATGTAATTTTGATTTTTTTTCCTTTTTCAAAAGAAAAAAGGACAAGCGCATGAAATTCAATAATGTATACATTATGATCATTTTGTGATCAGCAGAGGAGCATCACAAATCTGAATAAAGCTTAGTTTGTTTCGCACAAAGACTTCCATGCATCCTCTGAGGAGATACTTCATTCTTTGAGCAATATTCTGTTTTTTTAAGCAATGCCAATAGATGGCCAAGGGATTCGAACAATTCAAACCTGGGATTTAACTATCTTCTATTCCTTATAAATCACATTTTCCTTTAATAAACTTAGCCAGGATACGACCTCTTGCTGAGAGTTCTGTTTGCAGAGGTCCCCATTATAGAGTATGCTTTCTGTTGCTCTACTTTACATTTCTGTCTCTGGGAATCACTATCATGTAGGTTCCTGGCATAGCCATGGGCCATAAATTCAACATCTAAACAAATACTGAACAAAAAAAAAAAATCTTAAAAGAAGAAAAACACCAAGAAAAATTACTCCTTTTTCCCTTACCATGTTGAATACAGCCATAGTTAATATTATAGCAGTGGTTGTCAATGTAAGAGTGATCCGTGGCCAAGGACGGTTTGCAATTATTCCAGATGACTTCAGGATCCACAGCAGTGAAGCTGATGCCTTCTTGCTACATTGCTAAGTGCAAAGAGTTTAAAAAAAGAGAAAACAAAAATAGTTTTAGTATATTTAATTACTATAAACAAGGGTAGAATTAAGAAGGCTCAAGATCGAGGGCAGCATTAATCTTGAGAGATTTTACAGAAGTATTCAACTATTATATTCTCGTAAGAGTTACAGATCATGATTATACATGAAACTAAATGCAAATTTAGTTAAAATATCTGCCATAATACAAATTTTGTTAAATAATTATAATTTGCAAGTATCTTACTAAACATTCAATATATATTACTAATAATAGCAAATACAGAGTTGACAGCAGTGTCATTATCTCTAATATTAGCAAAAAACAAGCAAACAAATTGACCTCCCCCACCTCAATTAAAAGAGCGACATTTAGTAGCCTCTGGAAACTTCAAGATGTAAATAATGACTTTGCAAAGTCTTTGACAGAGAGACAGAGGCCTCCTCATGCAGGATAAAAGCTGTATACATAGATATGTAGTCTACAAAATAGTGGGGTTTCTACGTCTTTTATTTGTTTGGAGACTTGTTTGATAATTCATTTCAGGTGAAAGGTAGCTCAGCAAAGCAAATCAAACTTCCCTAAAATTATTTAGAAAACAAATAAGCATTTCATACAACAATCAGACTTACAATTTGACACAAAGAGTATTTAGTGAATAGAAATTTTTTCATATATAGTGGGAAAAATTAACAACAAAACCCTGACTCATTTAACCTGCTTCCAAGAACACATTGCAGTAGTCTCCATTCATACATGCATAGTGCCTAGAGGCACAAGATGCTCACACAGAATAAACAACAATTTGTGGCACATCCAATAAATATTAATATTCCCAGAACTTTAGCAATGAGGAGATAAGGTTGCCTGGAAGCATCTTGTGCCCTTTCCAAACATCAATTTCAGCTATACTGAAACCTCTGTAAAAAAGGCACTGAAAAGTTCAAGAACATGACAGTCCCCCAGAAGTATTAGCTTTTTATCAACTCTTTTTCTCTATTTACTTAATATTATCAGAGATCACTTTACATATTGTTTTCACCCCAGCCACAGCAATCAGCAGAAATACAAGCACAAGAATTCTATGAAATGAGAACTCAAGCACTAAAATCTACCAAATACAGGATTAATTTACAGCACTGACCTATTAGTTCAGGTTCAATAGCTATGGCACATCACGCTAAATTACACTACTACCCCACATATGTGATGTAGTTTACATGAAGGTCTTTATCATACTACATATAATTATTTCCCTCCCAACGACATACTATCTGGACAAGTCCACTGTATATCTAGAACTTTTTTTACATATGTTTCCTTTTATGACAGAGAGTTTTGCATACTGGACTGGACAGATTCTGAGTGAATTAAGTCCGTTTCAGGAAGGTCAAAACAATAATCAGAATTTCAAAGATGGACATTAAAAAACTCTTACATAAACTCAAGGGACGTGCATTTTTGAGCAAGCAACTCCTGCTCAAATGCCTTTTTGAACTTCCAAGCCTTGTTCTCCACCCCTAAGTACATAGCAAATTTCAAGGGAATTTGAATCCACATGTAGATTTTAGAAAAGGTCTGTCATCCTTGCCACTGCAAGAAAGTAAAAAGCACAAAGCCTAGATTGCTGCCGTTGCTAGAGGAGTGTTCAGCTGGACGCAGGGAATGGATCTGTGTGAAAATGATCATTCAGTTTTCTGTCTAGTCTGCCTAAAACCTAATGAGTCAGGAAGCATGGATATACAGCAAATTAAAACAGTCACGAAATCATGCCTTAAATTACCCTTTGCCTTTGTTATAGCACACCTGGAGCTTTACTATAACAGTAAAATTAATAATAAAATGTATCTGGTTTAGGCTAGATAATTAATTTTCATCATTAGCTTATTTTCCTGGAATTTCTTATCCACACAGTCTATATTGTTCTGTGATTTTCTTGGAAGTCTAGAAGTAGCTGGAATAGCTTAAGTTGGATTAGGGACAAAACTAGGCAGGAACACTGAGAAAGTATGAGGAATATAAAATGGGTAAGAAATGATACGGATAAAGCAGTACATCGTGTTCTCCTTTCTGAACTACGCTACAGGGAGCTATACAGTTCAAGGAAAGTCTTTAGGACAAGAAATTCAAAGAAAATAAGCTAATGCTGAAAATAAATTATCTGGCCTAAACCAGATACATTTTATTATGAATTTTACTTTTTTTAGGTTATCTGACTAAAGGCTAATCAAATTAAACACAAAGACCTGGTGATGATCAAAAGGACAATGATAGATGGTGGAACCAAAGTAACCTAATCAGTGAAGAACAGAAGCCACTGAATCTGCTGCTAAGACCATCGAGGGAGAATGTTTCAGCCACAGTTTCTGATGGGAAACCTACCAAGAAGCCTCAACGAAAAAAACTCCCTTTCCAGGATGCCCTGCAGACTAGGGTGATTACTGCCTAAAAGGATAGTACGCCGGCACGGGGCAGATAATTTTGCAATGGAACAGAAACAAACTTGTAAAACTTGGACTGTGTAAAACCTTATGGCATATTTTAAGGGCATTGTGGGTATATGGAAAACTTACAGGATGTTTAGGGGATGGGACAAATGTGGATCATGGAGGAATGAGCGTCGGTAAATGGAGAGGAGAGGGGATGAAAGGGAATTGCTGCAAGTAAACACTTCATCTACATGAGTCTATTGCATATTCGTATTAAATCCTATCTCGAACCATCTTCTGTGTAAGTGCAGTCCTTATTCCAAGCCTGCATGTGTGAAAATGCTAGCAAACGTCATGCTGGATTAGATGGCAAGTAGCACAGGATGGGTGCCAGCCACTGGAGAGAGAGAGAGACCACGTGTCTGAGACAACAAAGGGCCTGGGTGCCGGCAACTGAAGTGTCTCAGTCCCTGGAGAGACCCACAGGGTGTGTGTGGGAGTGTGTGTGTAGCCATTATAAAACTTCAAGCCGGACTGGCTGGCAAGTAAGAGATGTACATTTGGAGAGAGAGACTCAAGGTCTGAGCCAGTCCCTGCCTAAGAGGGGCAGAAGCTGGGCATGGATATTGTATCAGCTTAAGCCCATACCGAGTGACCCACAAACAACAGTCAGCGTGTGTGTGTATGTTCTTGTGTGTATATTCCACTAGCAAACCCTGGGTCTTCACTTCCATCAAACTGGGCTCCAGTGGAGCAGGAAGGAGCACTTCCCTGGCTCTTGAACTCCGCTGGATTCAACAAGCTCTGGCAGATCCCATTTTGAATGTCAGAACTTGAAGAAACATGGCACAGTAACAGATGCAAAACAATGTCATGAAAAAGATGCTTCCATGTTTTTCTAGTGCTAAGCAAGGTAAATTGATGGTTTCCTCTACACAAACAACTTGTGTTATGTTAATTCTGAAGATAGAATTGTTTCACACAGAAAATCTCTGTTGAATCCCAATATCTAAATACATGAACGTTGGTGTCAAACGATGAAGACTTCTCAGATTTTTCTACTTTAACATCAATGCTTCCAACTTTTAAGTTCTAATTTTCTTAATTTTCTTAAATTAATATTTGAAAAAATTACAGGACAGAATTGCTGAAGTTACTTAGCAATGTCCATGCTGAGAACTGAATTTCTTGCTGAGGACTGCTTTATTGCTTTCCAAGTACCTGCACACTTTTGAACGTACGTAACTTCTGTACCAAAATTCCTTGCAATAATGCTAAATTTTCTTTGTTTACAAGATTTTTGATCAATATCACCTGACTTTGCTAATGTATTTTAGCAAGGAAGTACTATTTGGACTGATTTTCTACATTTCTTTAAAAAGCTGTTTTTCTGCTTCCATTTAAAAAAAAGTATTTTTTTGTTCTCTAGGCAACTTTATCATTAAAAAAGTTCTGGAGTATATAATAAATTTCAGGAAACAATATATCATTCAGCCAGTGTGGTTAATCAGTAAAGAGATTCAATTCTTCCAGTTGCTGTTGCTAAAATTACAGATATTGCTGGCTCTGACCTGAAAAAAATGTGTGTTGTTAGACTGCAACTTCAAAAATGAAGTTGTAGTTAAGTTATTTCCACTTGTAAAAGAGATGCACATCAGCACTCAGTGATGCATCTCTTGACATGCTGTTTAATGCACAGCTCTGAGTTCTGGAGGGGAAGGACCACTGTTTATTTGGTACATCTGCCATGCCCACCTGGTTTGTTAAAGAGATGACAGGTCTCTCTCATAGCAAAGCGAGCAGCCTACATAGATTAAGCCAACGAGGCTCCTAAAAGGAAAGTTTCTGACAAAACCCTGATTCACACTAAAAATCTTTAAACCACTGAACAGAAATTCCTTGGAAAACACGAAAGAATACACTGTTGATCAGTAATTCTCTATGTGAATTAACAGATTTGCTGAACTTAATTTCACTTTCGAGCAGTCTAAATCCAGTCCATATGTAGTACCACTGCAGCAGTTCAGTACTGCTTAAAATTTAGGGAACTCCTGGAAGCAGAACTGGAGTGGTGCAGTGATCACTAAATTCAGACTCTTAATAGCACTGGCAGAACTATGCAGGTTTATTTGTCTGATTCATTATCTTACGTCAAGCACTTTTTCTTGTAAATGTTATGTCTCATTTACTATTTTCTTAGGAAAATGGAGAATGAGATGAAAGGAAGAAGGTAATAATTTCTAGAAAGCATGCAAGAAGGATGAGACATCAGATCTCAGTGGCGTTAGCTTCTGTGTTTATTCTAAGTGGAGCTGGCAGAATAAGGTTGAGTGTTTATCATTTACCAACTAGAAATAATAGGTATTTGTAGTATGAAAGGTGACTAATGTATTACCTTTTCATCTGAACATGTTAAATCTGATATGACAGCTCAGCATGATAGTGAGTAATAACCTATTTTGAATATTCAGGTTATTAAAATGTATCCTGTGTTGTCTTTCCACACACAAAAAAACTGCTTCAGCATTTAACAGAATGAATGCTGTCTTTCTGAAGTGAGA